CATATGCAAATTAGCCGCCATCTTGGTTGTCAGTTAATTTGCATATACTCACTGATTAGCCAATGAAAAGGGTAGCGGTCGTACGCCAATTACCATGTTTCTCTTTTATTAGTGTAGATAGTATTGGAAGTCCTAGCCACAGCATTCAGATAAGAAAAAGAAATAAAAGGCATCCATATTGAAAAGGAAAAAGTAAAACTGTCATTATTTGCAGATGACATAATATCATATATAGAGAATGCTAAAGATTCCACCAAAAAACTATTAGGGCTAAAAAATGAATTAAGTAAAGTAACAGGATATAAAATTAACATTCAGAAATCAGTTGCATTTTTATACAGCAATAACAAACTATCAGAAAGAGAAATTAAGAAAACAATCCCATTTACAATTGCATAAAAAATACCTAGGAATAAATTTAACCAAGGAGGTAAAAGACCTGTACTCAGAAAACTCTAAAGACATTGAAGAAATAAATGAAAAAAACATAAGTAAATGGAAGGATATACTCTGCTCATGGATAAGAAGAATTAGCATTGTTAAAATGTCCACACTACCCCAAACAATCTGTAGATTCAAAGCAATCCCTATCAAAATACCAACAGTATTTTTCAAAAAATTAGAACAAATTATCCTAAAATGTATATAGAACCACAAAAGACCCTGAATAATCAAAGGAATCTTGAGAAAGAAGAACAAAATTGGAGGTATCATACTACCTGATATCAAACTATGCTACAAGGCTATAGGAATCAAAACATCATGGTACTGACATAAAACCAGATACAGAGATCAATGGAACAGAATACACAGCCCAAAATAAAACCATACCTATAAGATCAATTAATCTATAACAAAGGAAGCAAGAATATACAAAGGAGTAAAGATAATATCTTCAATAAATGATGTTGGGAAAACTGGACAGATAACATGCAAAAAAAATAATAAAACTAAACCATCTTATTTTACCAAAGAATAAACTCAAAATGGATTAAAGTGTAAGACCTGAAACCACAAAACTAGAATATAGGCAGTAAACTCTCCAACATTGCTCTTAATAATATTTTTTTGAATGTCTCCTTGAGCAAGAGAAACAAAAGAAAATAATCAAACAGACTACATCAAACTAAAAAGTTTTTGCAGAGATAAGGAAACTATCAACAAAATGAAAAGACAACCTTCTGAATGGGAGAAGATATTCACCAATGATACATCTGATAAGGGGCTTTGAGGGCCGAGGCAAGTTGCTGCGACAGCTGAGCTCCTTGTATGAATTTCGTGCATCGGGCCTCTAGTATTGTAATAACTAGGTATTGTGTCAGATGGGTACTAGACTTTTTGGGGTGATAAGTTTGTAAGATATATAAATGCCTAATCACTATAATGAACACCTGAAACTAATATAATACTGTATGTCTACTGTAATTGAAAAAAGTTTTGGTTAGTTTTTTTTTATTTCCTTTAAGATTTATGGGTCACTTTGGTGGAGGTGATAGGTTATTTATAAATTCTTTTTAATGTTAATGATACTAAGGCAGAGAAGATAGCATTATTTTGGTTAGGGGACACCGTTGTGATAGAGCAGGTGTTTAATTATTTGCTAATTTGGGGGTGAGAAGAAGAGGAATAAGCTGTGTGCCTGAGCTTGTTTCAGGCTTGAGGAGAGAGAAAGGCTGTTCTTAGGGCCCAAAGAATTCTAAGCAGCTGGAATCAGTGACCAGTAGAGAGGGGCTGGGACACAAACCTTGGATCAGAAGAGTAAAACCACATCTCAGGCCCATCATTTCCTTGCCCCTGCACTTTGCTATGGGGCTGAGATAGAATGAAAAATAAGAAAAAACCCCAAATACTAGCTTTCATGTGAAGATCTTATTATTAAAATCCTAAATTCCTTTGTCTTTTATTTGCCGTTATCTAACCCTTTCCTCTATTTAATTTCCACATTTCTCCTAAAAGAAAAATAAGGAGAACAGAGAAGCAAAAATCTCAGTTTCAGGGGAGAAATCTCCCCAAGGTCCTGGGGAAGCAGGATATGGCAGAGGCAGGAGGTCTCAGTCCTGGCTCAGGTGGCCTAGAGATGACTTTAGGAGGGCTACTCTCTCATGGACATCATCAACAACGTCCTTAAGAATGGCCACCACCTCCTGGCCTCGGATGTAGCTGTTTCCAACCACCACAGACCAGCACAATACCCACAGGGTTGCCATATGAGCATTGTGTTGGGCTATGTGGCACTGCAGCTGGGCAGCTGATTCCCCAGCCAGTTTGCTGACCAGGCACTTGTTCTCTGCCATTTCAATTGCAATAATTGCAGCAGCAGTCTGGTGGCGCCTGAGGGTCCTGGCTTTGGGCTGGAACTGGCACACTTGGCCTGCCGAGCTGCAGGGGAGACTGTAGACACCCCTGGAGCCTCTGGGACTAATGATGGAGTCTCTCTCTGAGGCTGGTTTCCATCTGGAGATTCTGGCCTCCTCTGGACTTTTGTTGGAGACAAAAGAGCAAAATTCTAACTGCTCTCCCGATCCTATTCTTTCCAGGTCCCATGGAAAAGATTACCATGATGCCCAGTTATCACCAACAATTAAGGCAAGAGCCAGGTATAAGCCAGTGGAAGGGTCACTGGGCCAAGTTCTAGAGTCAGCCTTAGCATTAACTGGATGTGTCACCTTCTGCAAATTACTTTCTTCTGGATTCATTTTCTTATCTGTAAAATGCAAGGGCCAAAGATGGTCTCCAGCTGTCCTTTCCAACTCTAACATCTGTAGTGAAACCAAGCTTTCTTAAATTTCCAAGAACCCTGAGGGGAACCCAACCTTGGTTTTATCATTTATGACTTCCTTCTCCTCTCAGTTCTGTGGCATCAAGGCTTTGGTAGAACACATTGGGTCACTTACCTGTCCCAGTCCCTTGGACATCCTGGCTTATGTCCATCTCAGTTGTCTTGTCCACCTGGGCTTTCAGGACTGAGGCCCCTGGACAGCTCTAGTGCTTCTATTTTCAACTTAAAATGATCCTCTGTTTCTATCTCCACCTCTGGTTCTCTGCCTACTGCTGCTCCTGGGGAGTTTCCTTCTGCTCACCCACCTTCTTGCTCCTTGCCTTTTTTCTTTCCCTGGGTCAGCCAGTGGTGGTGGTTGAGATTACAAGGCTGGGTCGGCTCCCGGAGGTGGTCTGGGCTGCTGCTGCCCATGAACTGCTTTGTAGAAGGGGCATCCTTGAGGGGCTCTCTCAGAGTGTGGGATGGCCATGTGGGGATTCTCGCAGGCCACCTCATGGGCCTTGAACTTGGTTTGACACTGATATGCATGTCAGACACTCCAATCTGTGACAGGGAGAGATACAGATGCACTTGTTGTCTTGTTCCCTCTTGAGGCAATGGCGGGCTTCTTCTAAGTGAGCCACAGGTGGCTTTGCCCACTTGTGTCTGTCTCACCAAGTGTGCTCCTGAAGGCACCTGGCCACCTTCAAAGACTGAAATGTTGTATTGAAGTATCTCTAGGCACCTCTTGATGGCAGGCTTCTCCGTGATGGTGAGCGGGTGCTTAGATCTCCACTGGAGCCCAGTGGACTCCCGATGGATCCTCTATGGTGCCTGGGATAGTTCCACTGGTTCCTGGCCTGGGAGCATGAAGGCTGAGGCCATCACTGCATGTTCTAGACATGTCCTATCAAAGAGAAACAGCATTGGATACTTGTTAGGTTGGCAAGACAGATTTTATTCAGGTTACTGCAGTAGGGAAGAGAGACTCCAAGATAAAGTGAACTCAACACCAACTAAGACAAAGGTGACTACGGTTTTATAAGGGGCGAAAGGGAGTTAGCCCATTTAGAGATAACTAACAGGGGCTTAGGGGAGAACAAAAAGGGGCTAAGGAAGACTTTGGGGACCTTAAAAGGGCTAGGGAGAGATGGAAAATTACTGAAAACAGTTTGGCTACAAAGCACATTTTGTGGTTTTGGCAGAATTGTGGTTTCTTGAGTAAAGACTCAGCACCGGGGCTGGGGTCACTTTTAGGGACACAGGGACTGGGGTCATCTTTAGGGACACAGATTAGTATAGGAGGGAGCCAGGCTAAAGTTTGGTCAAGTCTCTTGGCACAGTGTCCAGGCAAGTCTTTTGGGCCGCGTGGGAGATAATAGTTCACAGTTCGTTCCTGGTGCCTAGTCTCCCTACTGGAGCAGTCTGGAGGCTGTGGGCCAGTAAGACTGGGGTTCCTTTTCTTCCTTTGCACCCCAGTCGGTGATGGGAGGGTGAGGGTGGACCACACCTAGGCCAGCTTAACATGAAGCGTCCTGTGCTCTGTTTCTATGTTTATTGCAGAGAGTGGCTGGAATGGCAATAGGTGAGGGACAATGTTATTGAGGAAAGGACTCCCAGAGAAGCCCCAGTGCTGCAGAACTTGCTGTGGCCGCGGCTTTGGTGTTCCTTTAGCTGCTGGAGCTTATCATGGATGTGCCTGGTACAATAGATGATGCTATGGAGGTTCCAAGATGGCAGAGCTCACTAATGCCATAGGCCCTTGTGCTCTGCCCTGCTTTGCTCAGGTTAAAGCCTATGGCAGGGAGGGGCAGAACCAGAGAGTTGTGAGGGTCACCCACCCGGGCTGACCCTCCAGAGACTGCAGACCTGCCCGGGACCCAACAAGACTGGCTATCAGTTTCCTTGGCCAGCCACAGCCACTCCAATCTGTGACAGGGAGAGATACAGATGCACTTGTTGTCTTGTTCCCTCTTGAGGCAATGGCGGGCTTCTTCTAAGTGAGCCACAGGTGGCTTTGCCCACTTGTGTCTGTCTCACCAAGTGTGCAAATGTCTGACCTTCATTTACACTCCCTGCCTCACTTCAGCAAGGCTCCAGAACAGCTCACCGCTAATAGGCCGGCAGGTCTCCCACGCTGGATGTCCAATGAGCAAGCAGGCTCAAGGTGGGGCCAGCCATCCAAACAGACCATTTGCATAAATGTCTTTGCTGGAAAATCCCTTCAATGGCAGCCAAATCGAATAGACCAGTTCCCACAGCACAGTTAAGAGAAATATCTTGGGGGCCAGATTACTATCTCCGTTAAGATAGTACCACCCACACCTGTAAGCACCTGCTGGTTTCTCTTGAAAAGACAGGATTGCTATCAGACCAGGGCTGGCTTTGGAAGGCCAGGACTGGGTGTGAGAAGGTGGCTGGGGCTCCCACACTTCAGCCTGGGACACGGGAGGAAGGGAATGAATCCTCTTGGCAATAGCTCCCTGCCAGAGTTCCCACAAAGTAAAAAAGTCCACTTGACACAGCACTCTGCAAAGTGCAGAGGCTGGTTTGAGTGTCCCAGCTAGGAGATAGTGATAGAAAAGGCTTAAATATTTCAAACTGTGAGGGCCTGAAAAAGGATCCAAGAAGGTGGTAAAGCAAAAGAGAAAAGCTTGGGGGGCTTAAATAAGATGCCAGGAGGAAATGATTTAAGATCTGAAGCTGTGTATTCAACGTTAATTCAACAGACATTCATTAGAGCTTACTTTATTTCAGGCATTGTGCTAAGCATTCAGGTAAAGAAGTAGAATAAGACATGGTCCAGTGGGGGAGACAGACATGTAAACAATAATTGCAATACAATAAAAGGAGCAATAGAAAAATGTCAAAGCAAAGAGATGAGGTCATTCCATCCTGCTTTCTTCTACAAGGATATGCTGGGGATGAGCAGTCAGTTGGTAGCTCTGAACCAAAATTTTCTCCTCTCCCCCTCTCTTCTCCCTTTTCCTCTTCCACAGCTGTCCAATGGCCCCCAATGCACTCACTGGCCCATTAAGAGAACACAGTAAAATGAGTTGTTGACCTCTGTCCTAAGGAAACAGAACTTCCCAGTGGAACTGGGCTGTCCAGCTCCTTAGTCCTCTGCTGTGAGGAGGACTCATTATATTAGATTGTTATTTTGTGGACAGATGTTTCCTAAGTGACAGAAAATCAAATTCAAGTCCTAAGATCTAAACCAGTCAGAGAGAAATAGTCGGAAGCAGAAAAAAGATGAAAAATATATAAATGTTTGGTCTACTGTATTTCTTTTGAATTTGGATTTTTATTTATGAAAGATAATAGTTTAAAACTCTCATCAGTTTCAGAAGATGTAGTTTGAAACCCAAGAACTTGCCACCTAAATTTTATGTTAACATTTTGTCATGTTTGCTTCAAATCTTTTAACATACTTACATTCAGCTATAGATCTCCCTTTACCTTTGCCCCTCCTCCAGAAGAAACCACTATCCTGAAGTTGGGTTGCACCATTCATTTTAGTACATATTGTTATAGTTGATATTTTGTGAGTTAATAAATAGTAATAATTTATTAATTTACTAGAGGCCCAGTACATGAATTTGTGCACCAATGGGGTCCCTCGGCCTGGACTGCGGGATCGGGCCGAAACTGGCTCTCTGACATCCCCCCGAGGGGTCCTGGATTGCGAGAGGGTGCAGGCCCAGCTGAGGGACCCCACTGGTGCACAAATTCGTGTACCGGGACTCTAGTAAATTAATAAATTATTACTATTAACACCTTTTGAAACTTTATATAAAAGTGCATATCTTTTGCTATCCCACTTTTTCACTCAGTATTCTCTCCCGCCCCCCCCCTCTCTCTCTCTCTCTCTATATATATATATAGATATAGATATAGATATAATTGATTTCAGAGAGGAAGGGAGGGGGAGAGAGAGAGATAGAAACATCAATGAAGAGAGGGAATCATTGATTGGCTGCCTCCTGAATGCCCCACACGGGGATCGAACTCGCAACCAGGGCATATACTCTGACTGGGAATCAAACTGTGACCTCCTGGTTCATAAGTCGACACTCAACCACTGAGCCACACCGGCCAGGCACTCACTCAGTATTCTCTTGACATATGAGGCTACATTCAATTTCTGTATTCCATTGTAAGAATAAATCAGTATATTTCTTTATTTCTTTCTGTCATATTTCTTATGCTTTCTATTTATCATGTTTTCCTTTGATTTTTTCCATCTCTTTTCCTATCTTCTGTGTAGTGATAGTATTTTGTTTTTCTTTTCCATCTACTACTTTAGGAATAATACATTCTACTTCAATTTTTCTAGTCATTATCCTTAAATTTTTAACATGAATAACTGCCTTCAAAATACTCATTTTCCTTATGAATAAACAAAGGTCTTAGAATATTTAACTTTGATCTACTTTAGCCATTTGTCACGTTATTATTGTCTAAAGCTGAACCGTTTAATATGATCATCATTAGCCACAAAGTGGCTAATTAAATTTAATTAATGTTAAATAAAATTAAAAATTCATTTTATAGGTTACATTTTAAGTGCTTAATAGCCACATGTGGCTAATGGCTACTATCCTGGCCAGAGCAGATATAGAAAATTTCCATCATTGTAGAAAGTATTATTAGACAAAGCTAGTTATTTCCAGTTAGTTTTTACTTCCCTCCAAATTAGTCATTATTAGTAGTATTGATTTTTAGAGTCAACACTTTAGATTTATCTTCTGTGTTTATCAATTTCTTTGCTCACCATTGTTTTTTCCTTACTTCTATATTTAATTTCCTTTTTCCAAAATGTATACTTCAGGAATCTGCTATGGACTGAATTATATATCCCCCAAACTCATATGTTGATGCCCTAACCTTCGATGTGGCTGTATTTGGAGATAGTGTCTTTTGGAAGTAAGTAAGGTCAAGGTTCATTATGATTCTTTAACCTGAGAATTCTTGTCTTCGATCAATTCTGAAAAATTCTTAGGTATTATTTGTCTTATTTCCTTTATTTTTATCCATGTGGAATTCCCATTATATTTACTTGAACCTTTTATTCTATCATTCATTGCATTTAACTTCTTTTACATTTTCCCCACTCTGCTGCATTATGACACTTTCTTCAGCTCCATCTTCTATCTTAATAATTCTCTTTTCAAATGTATCTATTCTGCTTTTAACCAGTTCATTAATTTATCCTTTCAAAAACTGTATTTTTCAATTCTAAAAGTCTGATTTGTTCAAATTTACCTTTCTTTCCAGGATCTTGTGTAGTATTTCTTTACCTTTTAAAGAAAAAAAAACACTTCTTTTTTTGTGTGTTGAGTATATTGATGTTGGAATCTAACTGAATTTCTCAGGAGTTCAGTTGTCTAGACTATGAAATGGGGCTTTATATGAAATGGCCTCTAAGGTGACTTCCAGCACTAAAATTCCAGTATGCGCCCTGATATTAATTTTTTTAATGAGCATTGCTGGCTGACTTTGCAATTCTAATTAATGAAGGTGGCATTAGAGCATGGCAGTGCATAAAGAATGGTTATTTTCAAAGCCATCCTCCCCAGACCTCTGGGGCTGTGAGCCAACACCTTCTGTGTGTGTATGTGTGTGTGTGTGTGTGTGTGTGTGTGTGTGTGTGTGTGTGATCTTCCTGGATCGGCACAGAGAAGCAGGTGGCTAACCAGATGAACACAGGACAGGAAAAATACCCATCTGGGTTTGGTTTCAGATCAGAGATATTTTTTTGGATGCTTATCAAAGAATCCAGTGAAAGAGTAGGGAGAACGGGTAAAGACTATACCTCTCAGCTGGCCAGAGAGTTTTGTTTTGATCTTTATAGCACTTAAAACACAAAATTAGAGTGTTAACAGTTTTTCTACACTCTCTAAAACCAACAACATATTAGAGTGCTGAAAGAAGAATAATATAGCTTGTATTTCTTCTTATCGAAAGATTCCCACAATTGAGCTACAGGAACGTAGAAAGGTGTTGAAGTGAACTGTGGGTATGAGCTGGAGTGGGGGATGGAGGAGGTGATCTCAGTATATTCCTATAAAGGGCAAGTAAGTGATCAATGCAACCATTTTTGGAGCTTGTATCCCAAGGTGCCTCACAAGCATCTTTGAAGTTCGACTCCCACTTTGTCAAATATTCAGTGGTAGAGGATGCAATGAGATTCCGTCTTCCTAAACCTTGGTCTTCTGGTCTACCAAACTAATTGTGAATGCTGTAGACAGGAACTGCAGTTTCTTAGTCAAATGGCACAGAGCCAATTAAAATTAGTATTCAGTCTACTTCAAAGAGACTTGGCTCTCCTCCAACAATGACAGCTGACCAGATATAGCCATCATGCTTTTATGATTTATTTATTTTTGCTTAGATTTTTAGAATAAACTTGATTGATGTATAATTTATATATGCCTGCCGGCCTGATCAACCACAATCTTCCCCCGCCTTCCAGCCTTATCACCCCTAACTGCCCGCCCCTGCCAGACTGATTGCCTACAACTGACCCCTCCCGCCGTCAGCAATAATACTTTGCTTTATTGAGGTACAGTTTATATATATTGTTTTAAAGTTCAGCAAATAAAATTTTCCTTTCTTTTCCATACTGTCCTGGACAAAGTTTTGGAACTAAATGTCAAAGTTATATCCTCCTGACTATTGGTATTTTGAGAGAATGGGTTATCTCTTAAATTTCTATTCCTCTGTTGTCATAACTGAAAAAACAACTGTTTATTTGAAATTAAGATCTTAATAAAGATCACTAACATCTACATGTGTTTTGTAAGCCCTTGAGGCATTGTGTGTGAGGCACATGTATTTATTCTATATACAAATATGTAATTCTTATCCCCCTCTCTTCCTCATTCCTACCTCCATCCAAATAGCTTCTAGATCTGTCCATTTTTTCTCTGAAATGTGTTACTCTCAACATTTTCTTTTTGTCTTTACTTTGAACACCCTTTCCAGACATCATTTCTTTTTTATCTAATTTAAGTAAGCCATTCTAAATAATCCATCCTCTGGTCAGATTAATCTTTCTAAAGCACAACTGATATTGTCTCTCTTTTGCTAACAAGTCATCCATGGCTCCCTTTTGCCTCTTAAATCAAGCACAGTCTTCTCACTCTGCTGTTCAGTCTCCTTTCAGTCAGGCACGGTACACCCACTGCTTCCAGTCCTACCCTGCACTCACCTCTTGTGCTGACCCATCATTTCAGCTACCTTAGTTTCCCTAGGAGTTGGTCATTGTTGCCTTTACATTTTCTTACAATGTCATGGCTGCCCCACCTCCCTAGAAAAATACTGTCCACCTTTTGATCCTCACATCAAATCCTTTTTTTAGCTTTACCTCACTACTCCTGTGTAAAAATTTACATCTCAAATTTTTAATGCAGGTGGCACTTTGTACCATGTCTAGAACACACATTGCTTTTTCTCATGATTATTTGTACTTGCACCTTATTTTCCATATTTGACTGTAAACTTTTGACCTTTTACCCCCCTAAACACTGAAATAAAATACAGACAGTATAATTTATAGTGTGAGTAAATACCAGCATCACAAAGCCCTGTTGGTTGCACAAAGACGGGTATTTTAAATATTTTGAAACTTCATGTGCAGTTTACTTGAAGGATAAGGTAAATAAAAACTGATTATAAATAATATCTAATTTACTGTCGTTTATCTAGCTCACACATAATTGATTAAATGAATGAATAAAAAAATGTTACAGGACACATACAAATGCTAGCCCATCTATAAGTCAGCAGAAGGTATTCATCATGTCCAGAGAAAGGTCTCTTTACACCTTAAACAGTAGCATGAGCAAGAAAATCTACAATGCACTAAGGTAAGATACAACAGACTGTTTTTTAAAAATCAATTAAAGTATTTTAAAATATAAAATATCTGTTCACTTAATATTTAAGTATATTCATTGTTTTTATTTTTATTTAAAAATACATTTTTATTGATTTCAGAGAGGAAGGGAGACGGAGAGAGAGAGAGATAGAAAAACCACTGAGCCATGCCAATGGGCTATATTCATTTGTTTTTTAAATGCTATTGGATGTGGCCATATAGACCTGAGTTCAAATCCTGCCTCTGTCCCTTATTGGTATAGGATTCTGTAGTCTTTTAAACTCTAGTTCCTCATCTGTAAAATGAGGATTAAAAATAACCACATTGCAAGGTATTATAAAGAGTAAATAAGATTATATGGTAAAGTGCATAGCATACTATCTGGCATATAGTATATGTTTAATAAATGGCTGTTGTTATTTCAAGTCAAATCGTAGCTACTTCAAAAGATAGATTTTTTATACTCTGAAGTCGTGATAATACGGTAGCCACTAGCCACATATGCTGACTGAACACCTGAAATGTGCCTCATCTGAATTGAGATGGGGTAAGTATAAAAAACACAGTAGATTTTTAAGACTTAGTACAAAAAAGTAAATATTTAATTAATACTTATAAAATATTGGTTACATGTAAAAATGACATTTTGGACATATTAGGTAAAGTAAAATATATTGTTAAATGAATTTAATGTGTTTCTTTTTACTTTTTAAAATGTAGATACTAGAAAATTATATAAGTGACTTGTATTATTTCTATTGCCAGCATTGATCTAGAGCAGTGATAGCGAACCTTTTGAGCTTGGCGTGTCAGCATTTTGAAAAACCCTAACTTAACTCTGGTGCCGTGTCACATATAGAAATTTTTTGATATTTGCAACCATAGTAAAACAAAGATTTATATTTTTGATATTTATTTTATATATTTAAATGCCATTAAACAAAGAAAAATCAACCAAAAAAATGAGTTCGCGTGTCAGAGGTTCACCATCACTGATCTAGAGTCTCTGGTCAAAGACAGAATTAGGTATACAGATGGTCAACTAAATGCTTGATTGATTGACTGATATGGCTAAATCTTTTCATTTCATGACATAGGCACAATATAAAGAATTAAGGGACTATACTTTTTAAAATGCACACTCACATCTAGACAGATTTAGAGAATGAAGTTATTAGAAAATCTCATATACTGCATTCATATACACTCATTACGGTTTTGGAAATTTCCTCCTGCAAATCTGTGGCTCTAAGCACTGAAACAGAGTTCTTCAATCAGAGCCTCAGTGAAATTGTGCAACTAAGAATGGGGATGACTTTTCAGTGACTAAGGAACTAGATTGCTGAAATTAACCTTGGCAAATGACAATGAATCACAAGTAATTGGTGTGCCCAACTGTGTTGTCAAATTTCATGGACAAATCAGTGTCACCAATGCTCTCTGGCTTCTGGATTTTCCTACCTTTTGTAGCATAACTAACCCAAAAGCTTCTAGGAAGCAAAAGACAGGACAGAAGCTATGGGACTATCCCATCTTAATAAGACACACTGGCTAACTCCAGGGACCATTTGACTTTCCATTAGACACCTACCAAATGCCTCTGATTATATTCAACACTGGCAGATTTGGAGCCAGACAACCTATGAATGTATTATTCCTTTAGCCAGATGGATTTGTAGCAAACAAGGTCTCTCAAAAAAGTGCATGGATTGGTTCTATTATCAACTTTTGAAAAGGAGTGGGAAGGACTTGAATTTGATTGTCTGAATTGTTCAGTAATGCACCAGGGTGCTTCTCTTTTTTCTCCCTAATATCTTGTGACCCCTCTCCAATCACTAATACTACCACCACCACTACCATTTATTTAGTGCTTACTAGATGCCAGGAACTTTTCTCAATATTTTATATCTATTATTACCTCACTGAATACTCAAACCATTCTTTGAACTAAATACTACTTCTAGCTTCATTTTAAAGGTGAGGAAACTGAGGTCCAGAATGATTAAGTAGGTTGTTCCCAGTCATACAGCTAGGAACTAGAGCAGCCAGAAAGAGAGAGGAAGTCTGCTTGTCTTGGTGCTCATGACCCCAGACTACAGCATCAGGAGAAGATTCTGACTAGTCCACATCACAGAAGAGAACAGATCTGCATGGCCAGGGCAAGCCTGGACCTGCAGGTTATGCCTTAAAGTGCTCTGGCACTAGAGATAGAGTTTTTGAACTCCAAGCTTTTGTGGCCTTTGAGTGTCAAAGGACTATAATGGATTATGGTGCTTTCCTGAGTGCTGAAAGCTAGTTATTAATCATAGGCTATTTAGGATATTGTTTGAAAAGTTTTGTAACATATAATACTGTTCATTGGTATAAATAATATTTATGAAATATTTTTAAATTATATTGTGCTTTTGGGTACTTTTTGTTCAAGGACACAGAAAAGTGGAAGTATTACATACATTTTGCAATTTCTTTCCTGCAAACTTCTGCCCTCCAGGGAGCCCCCTAGTGTTTATTCAGCTTTGGAGATTGCCTTAGGTCTGTCAAGGCCTAGGGAGAGAAAATGGGGGAAAGCAAGAATGTGAACAAAAAAGAAAACCATTGATACACCACTTTATCGGATTACATGTGCTTCTTCATTGTGAATAAGAAGCAGAAAAGAGCCATTGGCTAAACTCAGCTGGACTTTGTATGAGATATGAACAAATGGCTCTAACTTTTAAAAAGCAACAATCTGATTGATTATTCTCCCTGAAGTTTGAAGGAGCAGGAGATAACAAAGAAAACATCCTCTCTGTACTCAAACATCTCATGCCCCTAAGAAAAGAAGAGAGAAGCACCAATTAAATATCTGCATGTCCTTTATGGTTAAAGATGATGATATTAAGGACTTTGTAAATAGAATTGTCATTACAGTTTTCAAATTTGCCAAAGGCTCATGGAATGTTTGAATGGGATAGATTATTAGGAATATTCTAATTTTCTCATATTTTATATGAGGAAACTGAAGTGTGTTAGAGACAAATATTTGGTTTTCATACTCCCACTCCACTTTCTATTGCAAGTTTACTTGAGTTTTCTTTGAATTAAGCTTCCTGATTCTTTCAGTGTTCATTTCAAGTTGTTTCCAGACCAGAGAATATTGTCAATATTGCCTTCAATATATCCACAATATGAGTTATGATCAAGTGGTAAAGACACTCTTAAGTTATAATTAATTATCCCTTATGTTATAACTAGAGGCCCGATGCACGAAATTGGTGCAAGGGGCTCGGCCCTCGCAGCCGAGACTTTGTCCAGAGGGTCGTCTGGAAGGTCCTCCGGTCTAATTAGCATATTACGCTTTTATTATTATAGGTTAAATGCAGAATCCTCATTCTAGAATTTTATTTTTTATTTTATTTTGCCTGTTAAAGAAAAGCAGGCAATCATGAGAAGCTGGTCTTTTTTCTCTAAGAATCAATTTACCTGTCCACTAGGATGACACAAAACTGTAAACTGTATAATAACTAAAAATACATATACACATACAAATAGATGGCATATTTTTTTGTTGTTGTTTAGGCAGATTATACTTAGAATCCTTGTCAGGGTACCATCTGCCTTGGAGACCTTCAAACAAGCTAAGAAGTAGCTTGGCCAAAATTTCAGATATAGAATGACCAGGTGTCTAGTATTGGGCAATCTGGTATTTTTGTTTCCTGTTCCATAAAATTAAAAACATGCTGGGGCAATGAGACTGTTCTTTATTGTGCACTGGCGGTTACATGGGTGTATGCATAATAAAAATTCACTGAGTTGTACACCTAAGATTTATGCATTTTACTGTATATAAATTATAACTCAAAAATAAAACTGAAGAATATAAAGAAACTGCAAAACTAAAAACAAAACTTGGAAATGCAATTGATCTTTTTAATTTAATTTCAGATTTGCTTTATCTTAATTACTGATTGGTACTTAAGAGTGACTTGGCACAATTTTTTTTGTTTGTTTCTCCTTGTGTTTATCTTTCAATAAATTGTTACTTTAAAAGATCCCGAGAAAGCCTCAACTTACCCGTTTGCAAGATGGTGTAGTAATTATGTCCAACATTTTGTATAACACACGAGGCCATCTCTGGGGCTGCGGGATAGGTATCGAAAATTTTTCTGCACACTCCTCCGCCGCCTCATATTTTTATGGGTTACTTCAGGCAACGGTATTCAGATAGCGAGTGGGTCGCTGAATTAAATGACTTTTCCCAAAGATGCTATGATTTTATTCTTAATCCCAGATTCTCAAAATTCACTTTATTTCTTCTGGATGCTTCTTAAGCAAGATACCCAGCTCACCTGACTTGAATATATACTTAAAAACTATTTGCTTTTATGTTTCACCTCCTTGCGTTATAAACCCCTATTCGTTGATGTTTAGTGTTTGAATCCAACCGCCAGGCTCAGTTTGTTTCCCTTTAGGCAATTGAGGATACAGCTGATTGAAAAAAAAAGAAGCCCTGGAAACATCCGGGAACTGGGGGAAGACTACTACTCCCAGAATGCATCGCTTCCAGGTCTTCCGTCCTCGGCTGCCCAATGACCAGGATCTACAAGACTCCTTTCGGCCCCATTGGTCAGTTTTCCCGTCAGTGAGGGCGGAACAAGGCGGGGATAAACCCCGGATGATCCATTTCCCGCCGTCGCGAGGCGCCGCTAGTAAACGCGAAGAAGAAGCAGCTCTCTATTGGATAGCATTTAGGCTGGGTAAGAGGAATCAGCCAATCAGAATGTGCCTATCCTCCCAGAGACCCCGCCCCTTCCTCGTGGTAACTTTTGGTGGCGGGAAAAGTTCGGAAGTTTCGCGCCAGGGCGGGGGCATCCTAGAACCTACGCGGGGCTCGGGTAGAACTGACAAGCATGGCGGGGACCGTGGTACTGGACGATGTGGAGCTGCGGGAGGCGCAGAGAGATTACCTGGACTTCTTGGATGACGAGGTGAGAAAGGCTCGGGTCGCGAGGTTCTTGAGCGTGGAGCCTGGGGAGGCGGACGGGCCGTGGGAGGCCACGCCGAGCAGCGCCCGGGCCG